GTATCTACTGGATGACAAAGTTTCGAACAAAATTTATTGTTCATAATCATATCACCAATTATAATCACACGACTTCGAAACTTGAGTTTTATAGTTTACTTGCTTCTCTCCTATTTGTCGTCGTCATTGGGGTAGTAGAATTTTCCAGATATCCGAGTGGACAGGTGTGGAATCATTCCTATTACACGTGTTGATTTGCAAATGATTCGACAAACAAAGCTTCCGTTGTCAGTCTTCCCCACTCACCACCCTGTTAGTTGTGTTAGATTTTATAACTGTCATCCTATCCCATCCAGCCTGTTGTATGGTTGTGTGTAATTGCATGTAGTGCTTGCAATAGCTGCTGAACTATTCTCTAGATTTCTTATCTTATTCAAGTCAACCAACATAAATTTTTCTGCTAGGTTTTTATGCTGCTCGGCTAGTCTGACTCACTGACTGCCCCTGTTCTACTACTTCGACCTACGTATTTGACCTGACAATCATCGCAGACAGGGCATTAGATAAACTAAATTGTTTTGTTTTCAAGGCTCCACAGGATTGATCCTTTAACCAACAAAGCTTGTTTCTAATTGAGTTTGTGGTTGGTTTGAATGTCAGCAGCCACTTTTATTCTTGCCTTGTTAAGAATTCTGAGTAAGCTGGTTTCCGAGGTTGCTTCCTTGTATGGAATTACTACTGGTGATTAAGATTCCTTATTGTTGGTGTTGTCTTCATCAGTAGTACAAGAAAGGAACCTCAGAAACTCATACAGCGGAGAATTCTTAACAAGGCGGACAAGAATAAATGTGGCTGGAATTCAAACCAATCACAAACTCAATTAGAAACAAGCTTTGTCGGTTAGAGGATCAATCCTGTGAAGCCTTTAACACAAAACAATTCAATTTATCTAATCCCCTGCTGCTGCAATGATTGTCAGGTCAAATACATAGGTCAAAATAGTAGAACAGGGTCAGTGAGTGAGACTAGCTGATCAGCATAAAAATCTAGCAGCGAAATCTAGATTGGTTGACCCGAATAAGATAAGAAATCTAGAGAATAGTTCAGCAGCTTTCGCAAGCACTACATGCAGTTACACACAACCATTTAATGTCACAGAGTGGAGGGAGAGATTGATAACAGAAGCTTTGTTTATAGAATCAACTGCAAATACGTGCCTGTAATAGGAATAATTCAACACCTGTCCACCCAGACATCTGGAAAATTTTACTACCACGCTCACGACGACAAATAGAAGGGGACAACGAAAACTATATAACTCAAGTTTCGAAGTCGTGTGATTATAATTGGTGATGTGTATGATTATGAACAGCAATAATGATGAATTGTGTTCGAAACAACTTTGTCATCCAGTAAATACTAATACTGTTTCACTCACTGACTGTGTGATATATCCATTTAATAAACAAACTATTACCGGTTGGTGTTAACATTGAGTCTCATTGAGAATATAGTGACTCAGTGAGGAAAGAAGAATATTAAGCTGAGGCGAACTCAAAATCGGACGGAAAGTGGATTCTTAGCCTTCAGGTATTGTCAAATCCTGCATACTTGGAGTCAACGTCTCCACCAAATAAAAATTCAAAAATAAAATTAATTTCAGCATATAATACCTCTGTGATTTAAAAAACATTTTTGTACATTCTAGGCTGGAAAATATTTGGCAGAAAGTCGTGGAGGTTATCTGGATGCTTTCATGCCTTCTTGTCTAGTTTTATACCAGGAATTTCTTTAGTGAAGTAAAGATATTTTTCTATGAAACCTTGCAACAGTGTATATATAATTGTGAAATAAATTTATGAGATATATATATTGAATATTCCCATAATTTATTCAGAACAAAATATTTACAGCGAACAATTGTCGCTTTCAGTAAATTCTTCCTTCTTCAGGCTGCTCCACAATTATAAATCCATTAATTAATTAAAGCATACAATAGCCAGCCAGTCAGCCAGTAAAGGCAAATTAGAATTAGATCAGAAAGTGTATTGTGGAACAAGTATAAGTAAGATGGATGGGATGGAACAATAGTCAGTTAGTTTTGTTTAATATGCATGGTCAATGAGAACATGGGACAAAGTGAGATGAAGTAATTTAATTTAATGATGTGTGTGTATATATATAAATATAGCCAACTGCTCATGTGGAGCTAGTTACATTGGCCGTACTCATAGGGTTTTATCCGTGCACGCGCGTGAACATGTACCTGTATTGTTGAGTAAAGGGGTAACGAAATCTGTAAATAGTGCAGTCTTAGTCCACTTGGTAGATATTGGACACCAGATAAAACTTGACCAGGTGTTCTCAGTTATTTTTACCGCGTTCTTAGTAATTTATCTAGAGGAGCTCGACTACGTCTTCTATCAGTAGCTGAACTGGTTGCAATTAATACCAGAAGACTGACACTCTTTGCATACAGAAGAAGTATGTTCAACCTCTACGTTTACGTTTGCCTACAATAAGACCAACAAATCCTCCATAAACATTAATTAGCACTATAAATTCCTTTCACAATTTTCTTTTCTTCTTCTTCTATTCCTCTGTTTCACTGACAAACGTTCATTTTCGACTTTTATGATTTCATGACCTTTTTCATGATTTCTATTACCTTTGGTTTAAGTAGTGCATTTTTAACTTGTTATCGTATTTACAAAATCCTGTTCATTCCACTTCATTATATTCATTATCATTATTATTATTATTTGACAATCACTCACCAATAGTACTTGTAATTTTACACCATCATATCATCGTTATCATTGTACTGTCGTTATTTTCAACCTTGAACTTATGTCTAGTCCGCCCCATTCGTTGGTTTATTTTCATATTAAATAAAGTATAATTATATTTTAATAGTTTACACACAATGATAAGTATTGTTATTGGTAATATTTCGAGCAAAATTACTGCCCGTGTTCACACCACTGTTGGAATTGTTTGATTCACACATTTATGATTTGTACTCATATATATAGTTCATTGTTTATTTGATCTAATCCACAATGCTCAAACTTTTTACTGATATTTTCATATTTTCTCTCACACACCCTGATTACACTCATTCTCCAAACCTGTATTTTCTGTTGACTATATTTATATATATACACACACATCATTAAATTAAATTACTTCATCTGATTTTGTCCCATGTTCTCATTGACCATGCATATTAAAAAATATCTGACTATTGTTCCATCCCATCCATCTTACTTATACTTGTCCCACAATACACTTTCAGATATGATTCTAATTCGCCTTTTCTGACTGTCTGGCTACTGTGTGCTTCAATTAATGGATTTATAATTGTAGATTATAAATGTCCAAACCAAGTTCACTTTTAACGGTTTGAAAAAATTTAGGCATTGGGTATATGATATTCATTATAATAAAGGTTTTTGTATTTCCCAATGAATGAATGAAAAACAAAACGATATTGTTACTCTTACTGACGTTTCGCTATTTAATGCTAATAGCTTTATCAAAGTACTGTTGTAACAACAGAAGACAAGGGCCAGGCAACCGAACGTTTATTACGGAAAATCAACACGTATTTATAGATTTTGATGTACATTATTTTAGGTTAATGTTAGTAGAAAATACAGTCTGTTGATTGGTTGTTTCTCACACAAAGTTAACCATGCATCTCTTGTGGCTGTGTCAGTTCATCTATATGTTAACTGTATCCGCCTGTCCACCTTGACCTTTGACCTCAATTACTGTCAACCAATTGGCTAGTAGACAGCTCTCACCACAGTATTATTAAACCGGAATTTACAAAATCTCAGTGATCTTCATTGCTATTTTTACTTTCAATATGTTCCTTTAACTTTACCTAAGTCTATTTTCTCACCCTCTAACTGTTTGTTATATATATGCTGAGTGGATTTTGTAAATTCCGGTTTAATAATACTACTTTGATAAAGCTATTCGCATTAAATAGCGAAACGTCAGTAAGAGCAACAATATCGTTCATAGTTTTTCATTCATTGGGAAATACAAAAACCTTTATTATAATGATTATAATTGTAGAACAAGACATATAAGCGAACAATATTGTTTTCAATTAGATCTTCTTCAGGCTTTACTCTAATTTACATAGATTTATATATAAAATTTTAACCAATGATGGTGATTTTGGGAATCAAATAATAATCTTAATAGTCTTAATAATAATAATATTGTGGTAAATGTTTTGAACGCAGTTAATAACGATGATTATAATGATAACAAAATATTGATAATAAGGTTTATGCAGATGATAAGAATAACAAAGATAGTATATGTATATAAGTGTATAAATAAACTGGGTCAAATCTTAAAAGGTGAAGTAGAACGATAATCAGAGTTTAAATAAATATTATAAAAGTACGAAGGAGGTGGAAAATAAGAAAGGGTGGGAGGGTTTTTGAATACAGTTCACCTAGGCCAAGGGAGAGACAACGGTAGAACAAACTTCTTTTGTATGCAAAGACTAGGATTGTTCTCTCGAATTAATTCCCATAGCTTCTTCGGCTAGGTGTAAAAGACGGGTTCTGATTCCATTCGATAGACTCGATGAAATACGATAGATAACTTTGAAGGCACTATTTTTGTCCACTTGGTGACCGCTATCACCAATCAAATGAGCCAAAACAGAACTTCGTATGGATTTTATTTGACCATTTCCGAACCATGAAGGAAGATGCTCATTAATGCGTTTGTTGAGCTGTCTATTTGTTCGCCCTATTATTATTTGATTCCCAAAATCACCGTCATTGGTTAAAATTTTATATATAAATCTATGTAAATTAGAGTAAAGCCTGAAGAAGATCTAATTGAAAACAACAATACTGTTCGCTTATATGTCTTGTTCTAATATTATGAATGGGAATATTTAAAGATTATAATTGTAGAACCTGAAGAAGAAATTACTGGAAACAATTCTTCTCGCTCTAAATATTTGTTCCGATATATATATATTAAAACGAAAAAAAAGTAGTTTCCAGTCAGCGTCAACTCACGTTTTACAAATGGACTGATAGCAACCGCAATAATCGCGCATACAACCGCAGTGATTATGGCGACAAGATAGATGATTCGTGCAGCAGATACCATTCCTTCCTTCCCCAAATGTACTACTATTATTAGTGTGCGTATATTAATTATGATATGTGATGTGCAAGCAGATGATTTATACTGTTTTTCAAGTTAGTTTTTTTTTTCAGCATTTTATTTTACAAATAATAATTTTTTGTGGGCAGAGAATTGATTTTTGTTTGTAGAAAAGAAAGTTAAAACTGCTGCTCAAATATATAAATCAGCGGGAAAGTTGATTCATTTTTTATTTATTTCTCGCCATGTTATAAAAAACAGAGGGGATTGACATATTGACGCAGGCAGGGGTGTTATATAATATATACACAATAATCAATGATTGTGTGTGCGCTGTGAGAAATGTCATCTAAGTAAGTGTGGTATGTGCATGTGGGCGGGTGTGTGGCAAGAAGTCGACAGCAGTGGAGATTTAAAACTCTATGGGTGGTGAAGGCACAGTCATTTGTGCAACATGTTTATTTGCATTAATAAAGTTATACGTAACAGTTGTGTTTCCACTCACTGTGAACAAGGAATTTAGCTTTTATTGTGAGTCTTTCTAACTAACATGTTATGATTTTGGTGTGGTTGTGTTCTCTGAGCTGGATGGTTTGGTTGCGAAGCTTTCATTGCTCTACTGAGCAACATCCTCAGCGCATACTTCGATGTGAAGTGAGCTTTTAGAATTCTCTATGAGTTTATTAGTCATCTCTTCTAGTGACCCTGAACGTGATTGGTTGTTTTCGTGTGACATTTCACCTCCTAGTTTGCTTGTCTCGGTGCTGGCTGCTTCTTTGGTCTGAATGTCGTTAGTCATTCCTTCTGCTAACTTTGAACGTGATTGGTTGTCTTTGTGTGACTTGTCACTTTCTAGTTCACTTCTTTTGGTGTTGACTGTTTCCTTGACCTGAAGTTTGACTTTGTTTTTGTGTGAATTTCTTCGTATGGATTGGTATATTTTGTCAACCTCTATGTGTCTATTGATTGCTGATTCATTTGAATACCAGGCCTCTAGGAATTCTCTGGCATTTTTGCAGTTCCCTTTGTCTAAGATTTGAACATTGTCCCAGTCGAATTGGTGCCCGTGGTTGTCTGCATGTAGTGATATGATATATCCATACGAAGAAATTCACACAAAAACAAAGTCAAACTTCAGGTCAAGGAAACAGTCAACACCGAGACAAGTAAACTAGGAGGTGAAATGTCACACGAAAACAACCAATCACGTTCAGGGTCACTAGAAGAAATGACTAATAAACTCATAGAGAATTCTAAAAGCTCACTTCACATCGAAGTATGCGCTGAAGATGTTGCTCAGTAGAGCAATGAAAGCTTCGCAACCAAACCATCCAGCTCAGAGAACACAACCACACCAAAATCATCCACCTGAGCTACAAATCTTCTCTATTATATCTAACATGTTATGAATCTATAGTTTGGTTTGTAAGGATTAGTTATGTTTTTACGAGTTGATCACGGACTGATATCAGTTAGAGAACCATTGAAAACCAGCCACAGGGAGTACTGGACAGCTGCGGTTTCATCAGCCTAGTTTGGGAATCATCGGCGGCAGTACGCACCCACTGCACCGGGATTCGAACCCAGAAACTTCCGGTTAACAAGGCAAGCTGGCTCGTATACCATTCAGCCACTGGGGTCTGGAGTTCTAGTGAGAAGTCGTGTGACCAGTGATGTCCAGTTGGATGTCACGTGTGTGGATGGATGTCCCACCAACCACAATGGTTGGGGTCGCGCTAAATGCATCACGAATTGGTAGAAGTTAGAATTCATGAGCCGTTGAATCGGGTCCCAGTGAGTGGCTGAATGGTATACGAGCTAGCTTGCCTTGTTAACCGGAAGGTCCTGGGTTCGAATCCCGGTGCAGTGGGTGCGTACTGCCGCCGATGATTCCCAAACTAGGCTGATGAAATAGCAGCTGTCCAGTACTCCCTGGTTTTCAATGGTTCTCTAACTGATATCAATCCGTGATCAACTCGTAAAACATAACTAATGCTTACAAACCAAAACTATAGAAAATCGACACATATTCATCGATTTTCATGTACATTATTATTGAGTATTGTTAGCAGACAAACACAGTCTTCTGATTGGTTGTTTCTCACTCATTGTGTCCCCCTCTCACTGATCTGTTTAACAAATCTTTTTCCAGTAATATTGTGCCTGCCGTTTGGAATGACATTAAAGTTGTACCCATACCTAAATCGTCTACTGGAGCATGTGTCAAATTTAGACCCATTGCTATTATCTCTCCTTTCTTTGAAAATTATGGAGAAATTACTTACTTACTTAGTCTTGTACCCTCTCTTAAATCCTTTAATGACCCTAAACAATTTGCCTATAAGCACAGTAGAAGCACTTTAGATGCAGCTGCCGTCTTATATCATCACATTGCATCCAGTCTAGACAAAGGGGCTAAATTTTTTCGTTGTGCCTTCCTAGACTATACATCTGCTTTTTACTCGGTCCCTAGGAACATCTTATTGAATAAACTTGTTGCAAGTCAAACAGAATGTTGCGCTGTTAACTGGTTACATTCTTATTTCTCTGAAAGAAAGCAATACACAGTGTATAAAGGGAAGTCTTCCACTTCATTGCCTACTGAAGCTGGTGTCCCTCAAGGCACTGTCCTTTCTCTTTTTCTTTTTTCTTTCTTCTTACATGACTTGCCTCAGTCTGATGAAATACATTTTGTGAAGTACGCTGATGATTCAACTGTTTCAATGACTGTTTACTCCCAGCCAGATTGTACCAAAACAAATAAATTTCTGTTGGGTGCTAAATGAAGCCGTCGACTCTCCTGAAAGTTGTAACATTGACGACAATGATATAGGAATTAAATCAGAACACAAGTATCTTGAACTTATTCTCTCTTCTGATCTCTCCTGGTATTCCCATGTCTTAGCGATCTCCAGTAAAATATTCCGTTTGACATTTTACATTCAGAAGATAAGGCACTCGGGTATAACTCAACCCCTCCTCTTACAGTTCATAAACTCTTGCATCCTACCTATTCTTCTTTATTGTTCACCCTTATTCTTTCCTGGTTTGCTTAAAAAGAACTATGTCACAATTCGTAGAATTCTGAAGACTGTGAGTAGAGTAAGTGGAGTTCCAGTGGACCACATAGTTAACGTCGTTGTCGACAGGCTCTTGATTTCGTGCAATAAATTTGCTAAAGGGATTTTGTCTGATTTGGAGCATCCACTTCACCCTCAGCTTTCACCTTGCATCTCCTCAGGTAGAACAAGAAGTAACTTCAGAAAACTGCATGCTCGCACGTCTAAGTAATAAAAATTCTATGATACCATACTTGGCACGCATTTTATGTGATGAAAATAGCGTCAGGCAAGAATTGACTAACCTTTTTTCATCTAGCAAAAAAACAATTTCCTCCATCCATCCTTATATACCTTCAAGTTTTACTTTTATTATTTCTATTATATTTATGGTCCTGTTGCTTCTTTGTTTTACTTTCATAATTGCAAACACCAACTTATCTCTATGACTTCTGTAATCTTTCTTTTTTCCCTCATGTAAAGAGAGCATTATATTCAATATTTTTAATCATGCAAGGATTTGTATACCGCATCGACAATACTGTGTGAAACAAGCCCACGGCAATTATTATTATTATCATTACCTTAGCTGCTATCATTATTATTATTTCCATTTTATATGCTGCGTGTTTTTGACATTACCCCTATTGTAAATGTGGAAAATTTTCTGTGTGATTAATTTTATTTATAATTTGAGGAAATTAGATGCAAGATATTGTGTGATTAATGCTGAAAATTCCATTCTGTATCACAAGAACTGTTTTTGGAATAAAGTAAATCATTATTATTATTATCTTTCATCTCCTTGTGGCCGTTCCTTGAAGGTCAGATCATCTGTCTGCTAATTATATCCGCCCACGCAGACAAAGTCTGCTGTGATTGGTTGTTGAGTCAGTTAGCCTTTGTTCTTGTTCTCTTCTCATGACCAATATTGGGGTGGTAAACATTGGGGTAAATTGCTGTCTACCAACTTTTGGATAGCTAGCCAGCTTTCAACACACTTGTCCACCCGTCAAATACCTGCGAGTGAAGGACATCCGGTCTTCTTGGTTCTATAAGCTTTGTTCGTTTGTCTTGCTGTCTAGAATCTCGGCGCTCACTGATGTTCACCTGTTTCTCTTTGTTTATCATTGGGATTGTGTCTGCGTAACCCTATCATCTCAAAGTGACCGTATGTGGTCCTGCCACTTTGGAAACTGTTTGCCTGACCCTGTCGCACATTCGTCGGTATTTCGCCTCACACTTTCATATGCTGCTTTCTCCCGATCTCCCAGTAGCGTCCCAAGTAAAAGCCTCATCGCTGACAGATCTGACAGAAAGCCACTCAACTGCCCGAAGATCCATCCATATGTCTCCATCAGAAACTGCATGGCATAGGCTTTCCATTTGTCGGTAGGCAGCGACATCAAATGTAACAAGAGAAGACAAAGGCTAGGCAACAGATCGTTTATTAAGGAAGTCAACACATATATTTATAGATTTTCATGTACATTATTATAGATTATTGTTAGTAGACAAACACAGTCTCCTGATTGGTGGTTGTTTCTCACTGAACCTTAGTTAATCTTTCATCTCTTTGTGACTGTTTCTTAAAGGTCAGATCAGCTATCCATCTGCTAACTGTTTCCACCTACGCAAACAAAATCTGCTGTTATCGGTTGTTGAGTCAGTCAGTCTTCGTTCTTGTTCATTTGTCATGACCAATATTGGAGACGTAAACTTTGATGTAAATTACTGTCTGCCAGTTTTGACTAGCAGCCAGCTCTCACCACAAATATACATACCGTTTATGGTAATTTCTAAAAATAAAACTGCGCGTGAATATTGCTCAGTTATTCACGTTATAATGCTAATGACGAACAATGAAGCTATAAATGGGAATATTTTCAAGTTTTCTTTTGTGAAAAAAGAGTTGGTTGGTTGCAAACCAAAGAGTAGTAGAAGGCATGATTATTTACAAACAACAGTTCCTTGGATTCTGAGTGGAACATACGAGGTCAACAGTACATCTCCGTTTCATCCTGCTGTCTGCAGTTCTCTTTAGCGCTGGCTCCACAATTGACCATGAACTCTCATCTCCTGTGCAAACGATCTCATTCATGACACCTTTGAACCCACGGTCAA